CACTTTGCATGACCTCCTAGAGGTCAAACATCCTGCCACTTTGCTGATATTATGGCATTCTTGAAAGCAACATTTTGCAAAAGTCTCTTACACTCAGTATCTCAGAACTCTAGAAAAAACGTTCACTGCTAGAAAATTTCTCTATTTTCACTGACTTGCAAAATGTGTGTATATTTCGTGCTAAATTAAAGCTGTTATGATTTTCTAAAAGTATACAACATTGCACCTTGTGGGTTTACTGTTAATTTGTTTTCTTCACTCGTACCTAATATACTGTGTCATATGAATGATATTCAATGTACATTGTAAGCATTGTTGGGTTAAAATTGGTAGCACAATGTTCTGAATGAATTAGAAATACAGCTATTTACCAATCTCTAAAATGAATTTGTTCCCCCTTTAATTTGCATAAATCAAAATTGACACCTCTCAGATGCTAAAATTTGTGGTATAACATGTAGTTTATTTGTTAGCATATATCTTGTTTGTTTTACAGTAGTTCTACTAGTACTGTGCATTGTTATGGATGTGCTTCATCTGCTACTGAGCACTGTGTGACTTTGTTGAGAGCATTGGCTTCCAATCCTATTACCAGACAGATACTCATTGATAAGGTATGACAATTGGATAAATAACCTGTCTTGATCATAAAACACAATACATTGCATAAAAAAGATGAAGTCAATACAATGTGTGCAGATGATAGACATTTTCAGTCAAAGTGTGTTGCTTTGCTGTGATTTTCAGTGATTTGTTATGAATCCTAGGGAAGTTTATCAACTGAACAAAACTTTTGAGAAATTATTTCAATTTTGTTTTATGCAGCCATCAAATGATATAATGCTTAAGGGTGTAATTTGAAAGAATAACTATTGATGTTCCTTCACAATTTATTTTGTATCAAAGTGTGAACACTAAAATCAACTTTTATCATCTTTTACAGTTAGTGATCCAAAGTAATCCAACCTCTATATTTTTTTTCAAAAATTAATAAAGATCTTTAGGCAATTGGAAGTTACTTTCATTTGGTCTGAAACAGAGAAAAATAAATAAAAATTGCAAGATATTGGACCTAAATTTATGCTGTTCAAAGTTTTAGAGTAGTGAATGTTTTTCTCTTTACAGGGTCTGATTAAAGATTTAGTGGAGTATAATTTACGTCGTGGTTCTGCTCCTGTCAGAGCTGATGTAAGAAATCTACTATGTCTGCTAACAAGAGACAACAAACAAGCAACAGATCAACTCAATGCAATATTGTTTGCTAGAGTCGCTGTTGCTATTAGAAACCACCAATCAACACATGACATGGTAAGTAGCCCAGATCTCAAGATCCAAATTTTTGCTTGTCTTAATATTTTAAACTAAGTTTATAAATACATTGGAAAGTAATTTAATATATAATTTTTATTGGTATATAAGTGTCAAATTTCCTCTCATTTGCACCCAAAAAAATCTTCAACTTGCTGCTGAAAAAATTTTGAAACACTTTGGCCGAAAAAATAATTAGGCAAATTTTGTTTTTCTGCTCTAAGTTAGAGATTTGTTTCACACACCAAATAAGTGCATATAATTTTTCAAAATAAGTCTAAACACTGTTTGTATTATGACCTATATGCAAATGATGACATAAGAATCTGTCATCATAGCAAGATGCAGAATAACGCACAAAATTTGGACAGAAAAAATTATGGCGTTTCAGTTACTCATAAGAATGTACCTGATTGGCTACCCGCACCTAACAATCGGACCAATCAGAGAGCAGCTTGTTTGTTGACAGTTTTTTTTTTAACGTATCAAATATGCTTTTAATCAACTGTAGCATTCACAATTTTCATTACAGGCTGGTGCAGTACGCCATGAAATGTTATTACTGACTGATACCATTCAAAGAGCTGACAGTTGCTGGGAATTCCGCATGAAATGTGGTAGGATATCAAACCGTCTCATCTTAACATGTCATTGCTTAAATGTTTCCGTCAAATCAGGGAAACTTTTTTTCTCACCAATCATTGAGTCTTTTACTTCTCACCAATCGGTGAGACTTTTACTTCTTACCAATTATTGAGACGTTTACTTCTCGCCAATCATTGAGACGTATTCTCGCCAATCATTGAGTCTTTTACTTTTCACCAATCATTGAGTCTTTTACTTCTCACCAATCATTGAGTCTTTTACTTCTCACCAATCATTGAGTCTTTTACTTCTCACCAATCATTGAGTGTTTTACTTCTCGCCAATCATTGAGTGTTTTACTTCTCACCAATCGGTGAAACTTTTACTTCTCACCAATCATTGAGACGTTTACTTCTAACCAATCATTGAGTCTTTTACTTCTCACCAATCATTGAGTGTTTTACTTCTCACCAATCGATGAAACTTTTACTTCTCACCAATCATTGAGACGTTTACTTCTCACCAATCATTGAGTCTTTTACTTCTCACCAATCATTGAGTCTTTTACTTCTCACCAATTATTGAGTGTTTTACTTCTCACCAATCATTGAGTGTTTTACTTCTCACCAATCATTGAAATGTTCACTTCTCACCAAACATTGAGACGTTCACTTCTCACCAATCATTGAGACTTTTACTTCTCACCAAACATTGAGACGTTCACTTCTCACCAAACATTGAAACGTTCACTTCTTACCAAACATTGAGACGTTTACTTCTCACCAAACATTGAGATGTTCACTTCTCACCAATCATTGAGACGTTCACTTCTCACCAATCATTTAGTCTTTTACTTCTCACCAATCATTGAGACGTTCACTTCTCACCAATCATTTAGTCTTTTACTTCTCACCAATCATTGAGACTTTAACAAACCATTGCTGTTAGACCAATGACTGTGTTTGTTTGCTCC